AGGTGTACCTGGTCGACTACGGCAGGTCGCTCTTCGTTAGTCGATCGCAGTGTTTCGCGATGCCAAAATGCATCGCTCAGTATGCTCCTCCTCTCGCTCACTACTGTACATTGAATGGTCAGTTCAGAAGCTGTTGATGCACATTCCGTTTTGAACAGCGGTAATGCTATAACACACATTATCCTTGATGACCAAAATCCATGGAAAGTCACTTTAATCCATTCTGGAGTTTATCTGGAGATCTTTTCGTAGCCAAACGGGTAGGGTGCACTACAGAGAGGTAAAAGGTGGACCTGCATGTCGTGGTGATAGCTCGTGGTACTCGCGTACGATTTTCTTTGCTGATGATATTTGTTCAAGAAATAAAAGGAAATGGTTAAGCGGAATCTATGGCCTACGGGAAGCTATCCTATGTATGCTGAGGGGAAATATGTAGGTTAGGCACTTTGCTAGCAAGTTTGTGTGCAAAAAAACGTGCAGAAGTCCCGTAAAGGTTATAAAAATATCAGAAGTAAGAACGGTTGGTAATGCAACAATCAGTCGGGGCAGCTTCAAAAAAGATCAAGTGAGCTCACCCGCAACGTTTTCATAGCTGGTTATTTTGTTCCTACATCCGTGATCAATAACGATTGGTGAGGCAAAGCCGTCGGGGTGAGCTCATCCTGCATTCCGTTTCGCAGAAGTGTTGGGTGTTTTCAGATGTAGATAGCCGTTCTCTCGACCACGCCGCTGTTAAGGCGTTCCACGAGAAAATCGTTACTGCCAGTGAAGTTATGCTAGCATGTAAGTTCCTTTCAGAATCAGAATAACCCTACAGTTGCCAAGCATCATTTCAGGGCGTGATTCTGCCCCGAGCCATTTCGCTTGTAGGCCTATAACATCTGATGCATTTTTACGAAATGTTCGCGATGAAGCGGTATGCCACCCATTCCCTCAAAGCTGCGGCCTCGATTGCTTGGTGCATCCTCCCTTGCAAACAAACCGATGCAATTACAAAAACGTGCACATCTGCACGTTTTGAGGAAGCCGGTTATCACATTCCTATAGAGGTGTAGGGGGTCCATGAGATGTGCTGATCCTGTTGATTGGGGCCATTTCAAACAGTAGCATTTGTGATAGGTCAGTCTTAAAGACAGCGTCCCCAATCAACCAAGGTGCAGAAATCCTTTAGAGTACAAGATGGCGGAGCTTGTGGTCACAGCGGATATCCCTTTTCGCGGCTCAAAAGCGCTTGATAAAAGCACGACAGCTCAGCAACGATAAGCTGACTCCGCCTATGAAGGCGGAGTCAACAAGTTCCACCTCGATCATTTTTTCATTACCAAGATTCGTTAGCGGTGATAATTGCTAATCTTATCGAATATGCCTTGGAGAATGAGTCGCAGCAAGTGGCGATTAGATTCAGAGAACTCGCCCAAGGTTTGATTATCGTCCATATTCAAGCTCATGCATGAGGCAATTTTAGGGTAATTTCGGATTCTTTTAGTTTTTCCTCTTTTAACATTGTACTTACAACATGATCTAATGGTTTTAAGCTCAACAAACTGTGAAGGGCGATCGTGGGCGCTGTCTTCAAGGTTTGGTGTGATAGGCAGTCTGAAACCTCAAAAGCATACGAGTTGCATAATCTTCCAAGATTTAGAAACACCACTCGCATCGACCTAGGTGGCTCACCTGCACGGTGGAATGGCAACTCAGTTCTGCTGCGCTGTAGAGCAGACACGAGACGCTCTCACAACGTCCTCTACCACTCAAACCCTACAGTGATGTGTCGCGGTGGGCGCTTCCATTTGTAGCCAGAAATGCGACAAGGCATATTCGCTAAATCTTTTCTGAGATGTGCATTGCTACTAAAGGGCCATACATCGCGCACTTGGGCAATTCATTTCCTTTTCCACATGCGTTTTAGGTTCTATGGAAATAGATGGAAGGCTAACCGTGCTAGTCACTGATCAACCCGTTTTCGAGAAATAGTCCTGTTTGGAACTGTGCTGACTCATTTAATGGAACACAGCCCCAGGAATGGCTACGGAGGCTATCCGATGTGCCTTAACCTCTCATACAAGAACCTTAACCTCTCAGACAAGTATGGTACCGATTCATCGTTTCCAGAGAGTAGAAACTTAGTTGCTCTGAAGGATCTCACTCGCGGACGGGGAGCCGTAAGCGCTTCCTATGCTACATCACCACCTCCGCTCTGCTGACCCTACATGTAATAAGACAAAATTATCGTGCCCATTACCTCTGAGATCTGGTGGCCACATACTTTCTTTGGAAGTGGCCTGGGTTCCAAATTATTCCGTTCTTCATCCCACTCATTCTGCGTAAATCTACATAGTAATAAGTACATAGTAATGCACATCTATCAGATTATTTTGTGCAGGTTATGGAGAGACACGTCGCACTCACGGAGAACTGGTAGACATCATCGACTGAATGAGGTGCTGTGATGGACGTTGCTAAATGTGCCTATCAACTTAAGGCATTGTAGTCCCTTAAACCTTAGTCTAAATTTGATATGAATCTCACCAGGCCCCAAACCCGGCCATGTTCCTCGGCATGCCTTATCAGGGTCGCCGTTATGGCTTCGTCATCCCCTTATTGTTTAATAATTCTCTTATAGCACTCGCTGTTGCAGAATAAAGCTGTTTATTGAGT